TAAACACTGCTTTTAATTTAGCGTCTGTGCTGCATACAGTAAATCACAGAGTAGATGCCAACCAAAGCGCTTTTACTGTAATCAGTCAACTCGTTTATAAACACGCTAACAAGAATAAACGACTGCAGGATAATTGGCAACCTTTGTTTCACGTCTGTCTGTTACTTAATGCACCGCAGGCAGTTCATTTAAATGTGAATGATTGCATGAACAGAACGATATTACAGTGAGTTACAATGATGCACGTACTCCACAAGGGTGTGTGTGTTGTGTGTGTGTGTGTGTGCACCTGTGGGAGATGCGGCTTTCCAGAGCAGCAATGGTGGTAGAAAAGACTGATGAAGAGAGATGAGAGGAGGCAGCGGGTCATTACAGCTCACTTTGATAAAATAGAGGAGGAGCAGACTCCAAAGAGAGTGCAACACACACACACACACACACACACACACACACACACACACACACACACACACACACACACACACACACACACGGACATCAAGGCTGTGGCTGCTCTGTGTTCCCATCTTTTTTGCTCCTGGTTGACAACTGGAACAATAACATCTAAAACCAGGACAGGAGCAGCGACTCCAACAGAATGAATCAGGTTTAGTTCCAAGTCTCGTCATTAGCTGTTAGTATTTATATTTTGATTTAAACTAAAATCCAAACCATGATTCAAATGTGATGTTACATTAAAGAGCAAGTCACCCCCTACCAGATTCTTACTCAACTCCCACTTCCTGTTTGAAAAATGCAACAAATGCCACTAACAAATACACACACTCACGACATTGTGACATCATAATGTACCATCTAACATCATAGTGTACCTCTTAGCCAATAGCGATGGCATATTTGAATTCAAATGCTGTGCAGAGTTTTTACCTGACAACGGCACAACACTGACCGTTTTAGGCAGAATATTTAAATTTTAACTAAAAAGAACTAAAATGCTGAATTATTGACTACATTGGCCAACAGCACGATCAGACACTCATTTATATGGTTTATCAGCAAAAAATGTTGATTTGGAGTGACTTGCTCTTTAATGTTTGGAGGTTTTTGATACGATTCTGGGGAAATATTAAATGTATTTTTAACTGGATATTTAATAATGATCTGTTGACTTTATTATTGGTTTCAATGATTCAGATATTTTATATTAAAATAAATTCTCAGGATTTTGAAGTTTTGACGTAAATCTGAAAATATTGAAACTTTCTTCAGCATTCTCACCCTTCTAGACTTTAGAAATAAACAATTTTTAAAGAAAATGAATGATGAATACATTTAGCAGCATGCTATTAAATAAATTTTACTTTTCTTGATGACTAATCTTTAGTTTGGAAATATGATTTAATTTTAATTTTAGTCTAAAAATTATGTAATTATTTTTCAATATTCTGATTTTGTATGGGTAAATAATGACACTTTGACATTTTGACTGATTTCTGGCCCCATTTAAACATTTTTTCTGATATTTCAACTTAATTCCAAAGATTCTTCCTGTTTTACCCTGACATTTTTACTTTCATTTGGAAATAATATTTTAATTCACAAAATCTCTGTGACCAGATTACATGATGAAAATGACATAAAGTGTTCAATTAAACTCAATTTGGTTTACTTACATAGCACCGATTCACAAGAGCCAAGGCACCTGATAAACATTTCAATTGAATCTGCTTATCAGTGCATTGAGTTCAGTTCATTATGCCAACTAGTTAAAAGTGTTCTATGTGAGGAAACCCAGCAGATTGCATCGAGTCACTGACTTGTTGTGTCAGTGACTTTGCAGTTCTCCTCATACTAGGCAAGCATGTAGCGACTGTGGGGAGGAAAACTCCTTTTAACAGGAAGAACCCTCCTGCTGACCCTGGATCAGTATGAGAAGGCATCTGCCATGACTGTGTGGGGCTTTGAGAAGACAGAGCAGACACGCACATAAAAAAAGATGGACTAGTAGTAGTACTTTCTTGAAGGAGTGGTTGATTTGTTTAATCCAGATACATTTGCAGTGGTCTCTAGTATGAATTAACATACTGGTGCAACTTTTCTCTGACCTAAAAGTCACCCACATCTTCAGACAGCAGGTTTTGGAATCTTATTTCCTGATATTTGGACATCTCGCCTCAGATTGGATAACAGCAACATGACTCTACCACTGACTTGCAACATGGATGTTTTATCTCCACAATAACACAAGCCTGGAGGAGTTCTGCTGTGTGGTGGTGTTGCTAATGCTAATGGTTAGCTTCTACTAGCAGAGACACAAGTCACGTTTATATGCACCAAATTTCCCCAATCCGATTCAAATTTTGGTTGATCCAGGAATCCAGAATCTCTGTTTACATAGACACTAGCTAAAATGATCCGATCATGCCGTGAGTTTATATGCACCAAGTATTCGGTCAGATTAAATAGGTTGAGCATGAGCAGAGTTGTCTTTCCCGGAAAAAAAGTAAACAAACATCATGAAACGAAATGAAAATTGTAAAAACTTCCAGCTTTCCTGATTCGTTTAATCATTTTAATGATTTTATTTTGCTCGTAGAAGTTACGTTTTCTTCAGTAAATAACTGCAGGTTTACGCTTTGCTGCGTTTTATTGTTGACAATATTAAAATAAGGGAGGGTTAAGCTTGGTTTTTGCTTGAGGCATTCACTTTCCGCTTGGTGATGCGGCTCGCGGATGGAACGCGCTTCACAACTTGCAGCGTTTATGGTTCATGGGGCTTGTCTCTGCGGTGAGCCAATATTCTCCCAAACTGTAGGGGACAGCATGGAGCTCTACGGCATGCATCCAACACTACGCCATAGTAGAAGTAGAAATTACTGTTTACCATGGCATTCCAGCATTTTTAACAGCGTCCTCGTCTTTTCCAACAGTGCAAGCTATTTCTCTCCAAGAATTATTAACAACATGTTGATCACGGTGATCTCTGAGAGCTGAATCATACAAAATTCTGTATTTACAAACCTCTGCCATACTAGTTCTTGCCAGTCCGCCATGTTTTTCCATGTCCGGCCATCCGCGTGGTTTGAAAATTTCCTAGGTGCGCTGTGCGGAAATTTTGGGCCGTGCGGAGGTGCGGTGGAGGGGCGTGGTTGTTAAAATGACGCAATTTCGCCGCGCGGAGCCATGCGAACCTCGCAGACGCATCAAGCATAAACCAACCTTTATCCTCGTCTCTGCCTCTTGATCAGCTGGTCCGCGGGTCTGACGTGACGGCTGTGCGCAGAGTGGGGTTCAGATTCATGTTCTGTTACTGAGCTCTGTTGTGGCTTATTATTGATAAAATGTGACAATCAGCTGAAACTGTTGAGAAAAGTTGGTTCAAACGAAATAACGGGAGATGTTCAGAAAGTCTGGAAGCCCGTGTTCATCATGTGTTCATCATGTGTTCATCATGTGTTAAACGAACCACACATCTCATCTGCGTTAACATGTTTTTACACAGTCACCCATAACATTTAACTGTTTTTCTACTGAACATCTGCCTCCTTAAACCCAAACCAGGTCTGTGTAACCGATGTTACCCGGTCTTCTTTAGAGCACGTCTCCATCCACCTGCTGCAGAAACAGCTGCTGCGTTCACAGAAACGGGGATCCGTGCGGCAAACCCAAAATGAATCTTCGTGTTTCCAGTACAGACTTGGACACGTTAGTGGAATGATTAGTGCTATAATCAGATTTTTATTCTACTTCCACAAAATGCAAGTTCTGGATTAGAACATTCCGATTGACATGTTTGCATGCAGAATTTTTTATCTGATTGGGCGTTCAATCCGATTAAATGTGCGCATGTAAACGTGGATTCTTTTTGATTACTGGGCAGTAAAACAACAACGGCCTTCCCCGCCGTGAGTCACGATGGATGAGTCCATGAATGCTAATTCACAGTGTGACATAGATCTGCCAGGACTTTCTGATCCTAGCGTTTCATGGTCTAGAAGCTAATGCAGGAGATAGGTGTAGGAGCAAACCTATTTAATGCTCAGTTTGATTCTCTGAGAAAACCCCAAACGGAAGAACAAGAGCGATTCACTAATATGTACCTATATATTTGATCTCACATTGACATTATCCTACTTTTATTGGTCAATTTTGTTTGTTTACTAAAACAATTAGGCTCAAATTGTTGCCCACAGATTTATTAACCGCTTTTACTGCAACATTATCCGCTCTCCTCACACCCCTAAAGCTTTGTGGAATAAAGAAAATCTATTAGATCTTCTAGTGTTGCCGTATTACAGATTCACCGAAGCTCAAAGTCTCATCAAAATCACCGCAGATGACAAAATACACACTGCTAAGACTTCTCGTAGCACAATAACAGCCCTCGTAGTGATGGTCAGTGGTTCCCTCCCATCTGGCTGCAATTTAGTTTTTCAATTTTCTTCTCATCTTCAATTTATTTTCTGCCGAGTCACAGCTCTGCTGCTGCTGCACACAGCCTGTCTGGTCCTGCTTTGTCTTTGACCCTGTTTCCACTGTGTAAACCACACACACACGCATGCACGCACGCACGCACGCACACACACACACACACACACACACACAATGTTCCGTCTCATATGAATTTTCTCCCTTTATGTCTCACCTCTGCTCTGCTTCCTCAGATATCTTCTTTGTCATTTTTTTCTGCTTGGAGAATAAAGATTTTGTCGCTGACAAGTCCAGCTCATAAAACTGAATAAGACTTTTCTTCTGTTAGTCAAAATGCAAAAAATAAATAAATAAATGAAACATCTATGAGATCACTTTTATTCCTGCTGGACTCGTGTTGTAGCAAGATTTGTGTTTTACATAACTAGATTTAAAAAGGAATAAAAGAAACTGTAGGGAAAAGTGTTTGTAGCTTTTCATTCCCAGCCTGTCAACATGGATTTTATTTTAATCTGGGTTTAGACAAGAGGTACGTTTGTAATTATTTATATGTGAGATGTAGGGAAGGTATAGTTTATTCACAAATATGCTTTCCTTTGTCTTCTCAGCTGTTTAAGAGTAAAGCTGTGGAGCTGGGGGAAAAGCTACTGCCTGCCTTTAGCACACCGACAGGAATCCCCAGAGGAGTCATCAACCTGGGGAGGTGAGTTTCTGCACCAGGCCTCCATCTTCTTCTCTGCACAAAATGTTGTTTAGATTCACAAAAGAGGTTCAATTTCATTGTTTTTTAGTTTTTTTTTTATTATTTTATTCAATAAAAATCCAGTTTTTAGAACTTCTGCTGCACAAAAGCTTTCTAAAAGTTCACCGATCAGCTGCAGCCTTACAGCCTGGCTTTCTGTGTTTATCAGCTCCTCAGTAAATCATACAAATAATATTTCCACGCTTTTAAATACATAATGTTGACTTTTTATTTGTTCCAAGTCATTGCCTATCTCTTTTAAAATCTCTGTTGACATGGTCTTGTTAATGCCACAGTCACGCCACACAATTTCAAGCTATTTTCTTTTTACTTTTTTTTATCAATTTCCCTCTGGGATTAATAAAGTATTTTTGAATTTGAATTTAATTGAATTAAAAGCTGTCTGGCCGTGAATTTTTGCTTTTGTCCTCGTGCGTTTGGGGGTTATTTTTTCTTTAAAGCTGTGGGAAACTTGTTTACTCAATACATTTGCAGTGGTCTCTGGTAGGAATGAATACACTGAAAGCTGTACTCAGGGCAAAAAAGCCCAGAAACACTCATTTCAGCACAGACAAGTCTGCTTCATCAGAGGAGGGGTGTTTCTCAATGCCAAGGCGCCTGGCCTCACAAGACACGCCATGCGAGGCCAGGCACCATGCTTACGAGGACACGGTCCTTCCTTGGTCAAAGAAAACGGTTAAATGTAACAGACTTGCATCACGTGACCGCGGCTTCTATGGCGGTCACGTAACGTCACGTGACACAGGAGATAACGTTATATTTTATACGTATAAGTTTCAATATAAAAATATAGCGACCTTTTACTAAATTGTGTATAAATTGGTTAAATCAAATATGTAAGTGAGTTACTACCCGCTAGCCACCGAAACTGCAACTACTAGCATCTAGCCAACCATAGCTAACTTCTTTGGATCTAAAAAATACATTTCAGATATCAGCCCAATAGCTACAATTAGCTGACTTACAGTTAAACTTGAAATTTCCACCCGAAGTATCTGCCAGCATCTAATCTGCCAACCTTTTGAAAATACTGCGGTGTATTCTGGGAATTTTGTTACCAAGGCTAGGCTACAAGACACCTCCCGTGTGTCCTTGCTCAGCTAGCTAAACAGCTAACAAACAGAGAACAGACGCCTCGGTAGAACATGAACATTGGTGGGTCCTGATGACGTATCTCCTAGGCAACTGGGGTGGGACCAAGCCATCAAGGCAAGGTTCCTTGACATTGATAAACACCCGAGAGCTTAACACGGCAGCATCTTGAGTCTTATTTCCTGATATTTGGACATCCCACCTCTGATTGGATAACAGCAATGCGACTCTACCACTGACTAAGTTTGCGCTGCGACATGGATGTTTTATCTCCACAAATAACACAAGCCTGGAGGAGCTTCTGTCATGTGGTTGAGTTGCTAATGCTAATGGTTAGCTTCTGCAAGCCAAGATGTTCTCTGCTGTTTCTGGACGCTAATACAACAATAGCCTTCCCCATCGCGAGCCAAAATGGATGAGTCCAAACGACTGCTTGACGTAGATCTGTCAGGATTTTCAAATCTTAGAGTTTCACGTCTATTTTCAGAAGCTAATGATAGATGGAGGAGACTATTTTCATTTTCAGCCTAGATAAAAAAACTCAGTGTGACTGATTTTAATCAGAAATAATCATAAAACATAGTTTTCCAGTGAACCACATCTTTAAACAGAAGTAAAGAGTTTCTTTAAAGTTTTCCTATTTTTGTTTTTTATAAGGAAATGACACCAAAATCAGAACTACGAAATTCGACAAGCGGATGAGTCTGATAAAAAGTGTGTTACTGACTTTGACAGAACAAACGTCTATTGGTTAATTATCTCCATGCAGTGTGATTATTCTGTTGTCTTGGCAACACATCTAACAGAGCACGATGATGCTTCATCCAAACAATATGATAACACTTTATGAATTTTTTTTATTTTATTTTGTTTACAAATCCAACCGTAGTTAGTCCTGCTCCTTTTGTCTCCTAGTCTCATAAGATACTTCCTGGCACCTCTGTCATCCACCTGCTACCAATCACATCAGCAGCCAAACTGGGCAGCTGCTGGCGGATTTAATTACCTTATTCCACAGTTAATTTCTGCTACATCACCAACATGTGCCGGTGGCACAGATGGACAGGAGGAACCATGCTGCCTATATTGTACCGCATAAAAACCAGCCAGCACACTCGCACTTTGGATTAGAGGTGAACATTTGCAGCAGGAGAACCAGACGCACGGGCGACTTCAGATGTTCCATGAATGTTGATGGAAATTTCCCTTATCTTGCCATGAATGTGGCGTCTTTCTTTAGTTACGTTGAGCTTTTTTATGTGCACATGTTAAACTGATCATTTGAGAGGAGTTCCTGTTAAAATATTAAAAACAATTATTATTTCACCTGTTGTAGAGGTTTTAACAGGTCTAGTTTGGCAAAACAAAGATGAGCTAAGACCGTTTCAACTATCAGAACTTCCAGGGTAATTTTACCAGACATTCACATGCGTGCATCTCCATTTCACCATTTCAGGGGCTGACGGAGTACCTGTTTAGGGGTTTGTACTCGGAAACGGCCCAGTGGAGTGACTCGGCGGGACTTGTGGTTTATTCATGCTGATTGGTTGTAACTCAGTGAAAATGATATCGGCAGACATCTCAAAAACAAACTTCATTTGTAAAATGGAATAGTTGGTGGTGAAGCAGAATGGAAGGAAAACAATACAAGCAGTGTTGATGCTGCTTTCAAAATCCCAGTTTATAAACTCCCAACTGCAAAAAAAAAGCAGCGGAGAGCCGTTCTCAACGCTATATTTTACGCCACTTTGTGGTCTTCAGCACAGCATTTCTTCAAGTCATTGAACGCAGCTTTTTATGTCACACAACAGCTCTCTAGTGGTCCCCTAAGGGAATTAAACTGTGGTGTGACCGAATAAGACTTTTTTCATTTAAGAGGTCCTTCACTGAGAAACTATTTTTTTTGCTTATTAATTTTGAAAACGATCGCTCGCTTTGAGTTTGTCATGCAGGCTGGATGTGAAAATTGTTTCCTACACCTATTGTCTGCATTAGCTTCTGACAGAAAGTAGACAGTTAAACGGTCTACATCTAGGGTTGGGCATTGAGCATCGACTGGAACCGGGACTGACTCAGTTTTTCCCAGAATTGTTCAAATTTTTTATTTTGATCGATTCCCAGTCCGCCAACCGGAAAAAAAATCTGCGCTTGATCTCCCTGAAAACAAAACATGATCTACAAATTCTGATCAATGCCTTTCAGAGCCGATCGTACCTGCTGTCTGTCGCTTCTACCTTGCAGCCTGCAGAGACCCTGAGTGCAGCATAAAATAAAAATTCAGGTTGAAGTGAAGATTATTTCATCAAGTAAGACCTTTAGTTAGCTTGCTCATTTAAACATGTAATGTTTTTGGATCCTGCCTCTTGAAATAATTGAAATTAGGAATTGATAGGAACCAGAATCGAAAGGAGAAATTGGAATCGGAACCAGAATGGTTCAAATACAAACACTGCCAACCCTATCTATGTCACACTGTCACTTAACATTCATGGGCTCACCCATCTTTACTTGCGACTGGGAAGGCTGTTGTTGGTTTAGCGCCCAGGAAAGAGCAGAGAACATCTTGACTAGTAGAAGCTAACCGTTAGCATTAGCAATTCCACCACACAGCATAACTTCTCCAGGCTTCTGTTATTTGTGGAGATAAAACATCAACGTTGCAAGTCAGTGGTAGAGTCACATTGCTGTTATCGAGGCAAGATGTCAGGAAATAAAACTCTAAAACCTGCCGAGTGAAGCTCAGCTGTTATGTGGCTCACTTCTAGTTCCTGGAAATGGTGCATCAGTGGATAGCTGAGAAAAGACATGCTTTTGTTAACGAGGAGAAGATGAATGGTTTCTTGTCATCCACCTGCTGCTCTGCGACTCCACGTAGATTTTCTGATGGATTCCTCATAAACAAAGAATCACATATGACTCGAACCAGTGCTGCTAATGATGCATCATCCAAACTTGTAATGGGTGCATTCATCAGAGTGCAAACTCACACGTCTGACACTTCTTCTCTCTTCCACACCTCCTCCTCCTCCTACTGATAAAAATTCAACCCAATTAATTATCCGGTATCTGATATCCTTCGAAAACTCTTAGAGGATCCGAGAGGTCGTTCTTTCAGCCCAGCCCGGTTTTCACTAATTACATGTAACTGAAACAAACGTTCACAGGAGATACACCAGCTAATAAATGACGTCCTACATGACTCATCACTTTCATACACACTTTTGCAAGTTTGAATTTCCTTGTAGAAAAACTTCACGGAAACATCAATCTCATCATGCAGTTATAAATAATAGATGACAAAGGTTATTCCAGAGGCAGATTTGTTTTGTTTTTTTTTAGCAGAAAAAATATAATTGGCTTGAGGTCTTTTTGCTCATTTCATTTATTTATATTTTTTGGTGTCTACGTGAGCTACTGTTTTTTTTAAACTACCAGGAAAATTATTGTGTTTAAAGAAGATGTGTTTTAAATAAGTTGTTTGAGTTTAAAGAAACAAACTTTCCACCATATTTGAGTATCTCATATTTTGCACATAAATGCAACAATTATATTGGGAGGAAGGTCACATTGAAACAGATTTTATTCCCAGCTGGCTCGAGGGTTGTCAGATTTTCTCCTTTTACAATGGCCAAAGATGAAGATAGTTACTGTTATTAATCTGAGTCCACAGGGCCGCAGCACCGGCATTTGTAATTTGACACCAGCCAGCATCTTTACTAAATGCAGCTGCATTTTGTGAAGATCCTACGTTAGTAACAGGAGCGACCTAGAAGCTATTTCTTTTACCTCAAAGAAAGCCACAGCATCTTTTTATTTTACTCTAATATCGGGCAAAGAAGGCTAGATGCTAACTCTTTGCTAATAATGCAAATGGTAAATTTGAAACAAATAGTCTGCACTAAAAATATCTCAAGCTACTAATTCAATTAAGACCAACTGGATGTTAAAGTGAAATGTATTTATACTTATCAACCTACTGTGTATGGGTAAATTATATATATATATATATATATATATATATATATATATATATATATATATATATATATATATATATATTTGACTTTTTTATCTTTGTGAAGTGCCTCGTGATTTTTATCTTGAGGCACTTCTTTGTCGTCTTCTTCACTCATCATCTAGAACCTTCTTGTACTGAGCCGTAACTGGCAACATCCATGAAAGTCACAGAACAGTAGTGAGAAAGTGACTCATTTGTTTTGAAAATGGGCTGCAGTATCCACATTTGGCCACTAAATGTCATTTTTATTCTTACATACTGTACTTTTAATTCAAATTACTGGAGGTTTTAACCTGCTATAAAAAGTCAACCATATTTGTTTCTCAAGATGAAAGCCTCCTCTCAGAACAGGGATTTAAAGATGCTCTTTATTCTACGTTTTGATGTTGCCTGCCATGCTCTTTTAATCATCTTAAACTTTTAAAACTATTTTAACATCTTCAGTATCCTGCTATGCTTACACAATATGTGTGCGCCTATATAAACAACTGTATTGTACTCTGCTCTGGTAACTATTGTCCATGATGTAAATAGGTAATAACTGTGCTTCTGTTCTGTGTCCTGCATTGTTTGTATATGTGTGATGTTGCTGCTGACACAACCAAATTTCCCCTTGTGGGACTATTAAAGGATTATTCTATTCTATTCTATTCTATTCTACTGTTTCTCCACTGCTCTTCATATCACTTTTCAGTGTTTTTCTCTGGCAACACAAACCCAATGACTCAACACAAACCAGAATTTGGGGTATAAAAGAAAATGTTACAGATCTAGTCCTGACATGGGGGTCGTGGGGAGGCGTTTCTGTGGTTAATCCTTGATACTCACAGTCAACCTGTTTGAATATCATCTCTGTTGCAGTGGGACCAGTTGGAGCTGGGGCTGGGCCTCAGCCGGGAGCAGCATCTTGGCTGAGTTTGGGACTCTTCACCTGGAATTTGTGCATCTGACTGAGCTGTCGAATAATCCCATCTACAAAGAAAAGGTTCCACACATCACTAGACTGTAGTGACGACACAGTTCATGTTTCTATTTATAAAACCATGGTGGTGCTTGAGTTAAATGGTGTTTCGTTGCAGGTGATGAACATCAGGAAGCTTCTGAATAAGATAGAGAAACCTCATGGCCTGTATCCAAACTTCCTCAGTCCTGTCAGTGGCAACTGGGTTCAGCGTAAGTACCACAGTTAGAGGAGGGGAGTCAAACTCACATTCACAGGGGGCCAAGACTAAAATATTCTCCTAAATCAAATCAGGCTTTTGTTTCAAATTTGAACCTTTAATTAAAACATATCCTGTGCCTGTTGATGACATCACACTATATGATTGGCTAGATGTACGACTTACGAAGTGACGTTACCAATAGGCCTGGGAAGATAACAAGTTTTGCTGGATGATATATTGTCCAACAAATTATTGACGATAAACGATATTATTGTCGACATTATCTAAACCAAAATAACCACTTGTGTAATGTTAATATATCACAATAATGCAAGTACACCCTTTAAAATACAACAATTACGCCTTTATTTAACATTGGGATGTCCAGAACCAGAACTTCTAAATAAATAAATAAACAAATAAACATAAATAAATAGGCAAACAAACAAATACATAAATAAGGACTTTCACTCTCTGTTAGAAAATATTGCACCAAAAACAATAAAATAGACCCTGTCTCTCCAAAACAATAAATGCAATGGCCTATCCAGTGTCAACCACCAAAACTGCACTTCAGTAATGATAATAAATAATAATAACAGAGTTGTACAGTTTTTACCTGGATATATTGAGGCTGAAAAAATTGAGGTAATTTTCATCATACGATTAATTGATTTATTGATTATCGTCCTAGCACTAGTTACCACAATCAAAAACATTTAGGCACTAAGAAACACGAATTTAATAACAAAACTGCAAACTATTTCAGAAATATATGTGAAAGAACAGAATCGAAAGAGAGTTGCAATATATTCTGGCCAAGTGAGCAGTATTGCTGTAGTATGATGACATCATTGGCAGGCGCCGGACACCAAGCATACCCAGAAACTACAGCGCCAGAAAACTACAATCGGCATTACATTCTCTCGATGGAATTAAGGACCATCAAAGTCTGAGGTTGCATGTTTTCAGCTCCACAGGTAACAACATTTACCGTAATGTTTTTTTAAACTAGCAACAGTCACGGCGATATCAATCATTCAATCAATCAATCAATCAATCAATCAATCAATCAATACTTTATTAATCCCAGAGGGAAATTAGAGTTTCAGTACACACAATTCAGAGATCAGACATACATGGGCAAGACACATGACAAGAATTGGTGACTGTGGTCATTCGCAACCCGAGTCGCGCTACCTTAATAGAGATAAGAGGGTTACATGAGGATTGGTTCAGGTGGAGGGAAAAAAGGCACTTCAGAGTTACCCTCCAGCAGGAGGGCAGCTTTGCTCTGCAAAAAAAACACCTCAACAAATATGCAACAGACTTCAGACAACACAACATAACATGAGACTCCAATAGGAAGGCAGGGGGGGGGCTGGGATCCTGTTTCCCCCAGCGAGAGCAGCCATCTACGGCGTTCATCTACGGTACAGTCACAGGTGGGAGGGAGATCTTGGGGGAAGCAAAGGGTTTTCACAGAATTTGTCTGCATTCTTTCATGGAGGTTTTCAGTTGCTTGCAGCTGAAGGTTACCAGGGTGTCAGATTCAGATAACAAGAATTTGTTTGGGTCAGGCTGAGATAATTTTCCTCTCTGCCTTCAGTCTTTAAACTGATAATTCCAGTCCTTCAGTGAAGCCAGTTTTGGGTTTTTAAACCTGTCCATACCGTCCGGTGACTCTCTCCGAGATGACATTCATTTTGCGCACTAATACCGGTATCGCAGCTAGAACATTGTCCAGCTTACGATTCACCTCGAGTAACGTCCCAGTCTGAGAAGTCTCCACAAGGACGGTGCTTTCCGTGGGTGCAGGTCGCCCTCCAATCGCTCCCGTCTTCCCAAATTTCCAGAAAACCAGATATCCTCCCACTCCAATCAGGAGAAATCCAGTGATCATCAGGCCGAATATTCACACGTCTTTGATGTCCTCAATGGACAGCTGGCTGAGACATATGATCTTCCACTCCTTCCAGGAATCCAAAATATACCCCACCGGGTGTGTCCCCTGTGGGCATGTGGGATCCCCCTGCTCCATTCTCATTGTTGAAAAAATCTTATTGATCGCATTGAATGACCAATTTATCAAATCCATGGTTAGTAAAAATAGGGATTTTCAGAAGAAATGCAGAGAAGCGCTCTGTGGGCAGACAGGACAAAGAGCCTTGGGAAAAAAAGATAAGGGAGCGAAAGAGAGAAGCGTCTGTACTCCTCGAGTGCCTTGAAGAGAAAAACTACCCTGAAATGTATGTACTGTCCCCTATTGGCAGGGAACTACACACTGCCATTTTAACCTTAAGCCCTAGGGTCCCCCAGGTGGGGGCTCTGTGATGTTAGTTCCTCAACAGGCCTAAAGCAACCCTCACACTACAGAAGAAATAATAATAGTTTAATAATAATTCCCATCAAATTTATCAGCAAACCCAGCACTACAAGGCTATCTAAACTATTTTTACCATTAAATACCATTTTTCGAGGAACAGGCTTCAAAATAGGCCTTGGGCTTAAGGGTTTAAAGCTAAGGGAAAGAGCAGCTGGGATTTGTAGTTTAACTGAGTTTTGTAAATATGACCAGGCCTCATCAAGTAGACCGGCCCTTGAGACTGACATATGTGCTGTAGATAGGAGATATATTCTGATAAAAACTCTTAAGGTAAATAAAATATATATATATATAATGAAAAATGTTAAAATGAAAACCTTCCTTTTCTGAGGTCGTTTGGCAATGTTACGGCTTTTATTACCTTTTGTATTTTTATATATTTTTTTGTTTTCAAAGAATATCTTAGGAGCTCAGACAATTAGTCACCACACGTGTCAAACCCTCTTTTAGCTGCTCATCTGTATCTACCTAATTTCATTTTTTATCTCATGCAGCAGCCGTGGCTATATGACTCTCATTGCTCTAGGTTATTGAAATGATAATGAATTCAATGACTTCAGAAAATTGGATCTGTCCAATTTACCTGAAAGGAGGTGGATCAAAAAAATAAAAAAGTCATGAGATAACACGAGGCTGGAAGTGAAAAGGGGCTAATCGGGATGATTATGGTGGCTAATTGTTGTGGAAAGACATGCAGAAAGCCAAACAGTGTATAAACGTCAGTGCAAAGGGAACAAAATCTAAAGCTTTGTTTGTTTGTCTGTGTCAAGGACAAACAGCAGCACACAGACAACCTTGTGGGGGAGTCAGCAAAGGTGTTTGTGCTTGCATGAGCATCTAGATAAAGAGTCATGTGTGCCTCCTGCCAGAGATCATATTCATCTTCTTGAGTCTGAACGTGGGCTTAAGCAAGCAGGGTGAAAAACCACCATTTTTATCAGCTTCCACTGAGAATGTTCACTTTTACTTGTGGAATTTTGAAAATGGAGTTTCTCTAACACGAACGGGAAGAGTATGAGTTCCCATCAGTTCAAAACCTAAAAAAGTATTTATCAGAAAACTAAATGTAACTTGCGTATACCATAGGCAGAGGTGGAAAGTAACGAATTACATTTACTCAAGTTACTATCATGCAGTAACTTTTTTGTGTATTTATATTTTTTAAAGCCTTTATACACTTCGCTACATTTTCAACCATATCCGTTACTGAGTGAAAAGAAGTTTAGGCTTAATAAATTCAAATTATTGTACAATGCAGCGTCGGAACAGAAACAGACAGCTGCATGAGCATCGCGTCTCACCCTTGGGGGGTGTAGGTGTAGACTTTTTAATAATGAGGACGCTATACAGTTACTCTTTTCCTGCAATTTTGCTCAAAAACATCAGTTCGGTTCCTCTGATGCACTCGCTGTTTACCCCCTCCCTCACCTGTTGGTTGAAAGCCGAACCTTTGTGCACCGGCGTTACGTCAATATTCTGCTTGGTTTGGTAGCTGGACTCAGTTTTGCCTTTGAAATGTGTTTCTCCAGCTGCTACGCACAGCAGCAGCTCATAACAGGCTGATTCTCAGTGTGCTCTGCTCATAAAACAGGACGGTGTTGTGAGCCGGCTTTGTGATTTTGCACTACTTAGGTATAGCTATCCTTACGCTGACAAAAAAGTAACTAAGTAACTTTAACTTTTACATTTTATTAACGTTTACTTTTACTCAAGTAAACATTTTGTTAAATACTTGTACTTGCTAAAAACTGATCAAATATTGGTACTTGTACTTAAGTAGGACATTTAAGTACTCTTTCCACCATAAAATTAAAAACTAGTTTTATCGTCACAAATTTAGAAATTTTCTAAATTTGAAAGTGTGTGTCCTCTGCGATTGACATCTGTACGTAAGAGGATGTCGTATGCTGTTGGCTAATGCTAAGCAGACGTCAAGTGAAATTGCATGGGTTGGCTTAGTAAAAAAAAAGTGTTTTTTACGGATTTCTAAAAAATCATACATACTTCATGAAATGGATAAAACTAGATTGCTGCTTATAGCCTAAAATTCACGGTTTTGCTATCTATCTTATACTTTTGAAAGACATAAATCCAGATATTTAGAGAGTAATCAATAAGGCAGATCTGACTGTGAGAACTAACATGTTGTCTCTAATCTATTTCTTTAGATCATGTGTCTATTGGTGGCCTCGGGGACAGTTTCTACGAGTATCTGATAAAATCGTACATTATGTCGGACAAGAAAGACGAGGATGCAAAGAAGATGTATTACAGTGCGATGGAGGTAAAAGCTTGTTTGATTTTTTTCATATATGTGAAACTACTCATTTAAAATTGATATGGAATTGCACACTCATTTTATAAACAAGTGTACTAAAAACTTGTTTTAAGGCATTTCTAGACAGAGAGACCAAAGCTGCTGTAAGAAGACAATCATTTTCCCATGATGCAAGTCTAGGTTTTTATTTTAAATTATGATTAAACAAGAAAACAGTCTAGGTGCAAAAGCTGGTAAATTAAAGGTTGAATATGGTACACGGACACTATAGGGAGCCTAAGTCACTTCGCACCACGGGTCCCTGGAAGAACGAAAAAATGAATGCAAGTCAATGAGGCTAAAAACACTATTTTCTAATTTTGCTTGTTTTTGTGCCATGGATTTCACATATGATGTCCATAAATTTTAAAGACGCTTTTTGATACCAAGAACGTGCTTGTTTTCGAACAGGGGGAACGCTATTTTAGGTTTTGTGTGAAAACAAGTCCAGGACTATAAATGCGCTTCACGAAAGTGATGTCATCGAACCAGACACGGACAAAACTGAGAGAAAAGGGCTGTAGGTTTAGCAAACTTCCCACAGGAGGAAAGAACCACCATAAATATGGTCATTTGGTAAGTAGCAGCTACTTTGGGTAGAGGAGATTATGTGATGATGTCACATATGTGATGTGCCGATTTCTAATTTGTAGTCATGCTAATTACGAACTTTTACAAGCTAATAAATATCAAAGTACATGACCGGCGTGGTCAAAACACCCATCATTACTTTTCATTTCAATTGCAGTACAACATGTGTGATCCAGGGTCTAAAGCAAAGTGGATTAGAAAATAGCGTTTTTAGCCACGTTGACTTGCATTCATTTATTTGTACTTCCGGGGACCCATAGTGCTGAAGTGACTTAGGCTCCCTACAGTGACATCTAGTGTTTAGAGGTGGTAGTGCAACAACTGAACAAATTTTCCAGCCGTCGGGTTGATACATGAAGTGACCAGCCAGCACCATGTCCATTGACGAATCGCACAGGGTAAATGCTCATTTCCACTAAGTATTTACCATGAGAACATCTTCTGGGCTCAGAATCAACTGCTTGACTTAATGAGTCCACCATTTTACACAGTCCCAGCCTCGCCTTGCAAAGCAGACTTTTTACCACAACGGTGCCCCCATTGGCTCGTCAATGTAAACGTAAGCCCAGTCTTGTGCCAAAATAAAATACTGATAATTTTTTTTAAATATAGCTTTTATAGGAAAAACTGTACATTCATTCTTCACATCTCTAAACGCCTCATTTTAGTGAAATGTTATTCCAACTTTAAGTACATATATAATAAAATAACTAATTATCAATAATTTATTAATCATCTGTGGGTCAACCTAGAGGTAGAAACACTAATTACAAAATATCCTTTCTCTCTCCTAACTTGGTATTTAATAACCAGGATCTGCTGTGTTCAAATTAACTTGTGCTACACTTTCATCAAAGGTGAGATGACAGCATAATAAATTATCCTTGGCATTTAAATGAAAATAAACCACTAATTAAAACAGTGTTGCATAAGAACACATTTTTCATCAGTAATGTGTCACAGATTACTGTTATTTAGCAAAAGAATCCTCTTAATACACCTAAGGAAACAAAAGACATGGGTTTCCACCATGTAATGTCTTTTTGGAACCCCTTTAACTTTGATTTTGCCATTATTTTGAAAAGCTTCTGCTATGCCAGTCATTCTTGATTCTGTCCAAAGGTCTTTTTATGTATAATGATAACATAAGGTAATCCAACCTGGGGTTCTACAGTTTGGGTTTTTCAGGTTTTAGTTAGGGTTAGGGTTAGCCTCTGGGTCAAATAATCTATTAGTAAATAAATAAATAAATAAATGCCGCAGGTATGAGAACCAAGTCTGAGGAGTCTCAAGGTGGGTTCTGGAAGTTTTGACATGTTGTTTGTGAAGTTTTTCTAGATTGTTAGTAGCACTGAGCTGCTGCAATTTTTATGTTATGAATGAACCAAAAAAGCTAAAAAGGCCACAGGATATTGGCTATCATACTTGTTATCCAGTTACATAACTCTGTTACGTAAGAAATTATGGCAGAAAAGGTTCCAAAAACATAAATTAACTTTGTGTTTTTACGGTTGTTTTATCCCAAATCCACACTGGAGCCACCAGTGGCATGGAACAGCAGCAGGACGGTCTACTCGCGTGCTTTGTGGCGCGTCAATTCACACCATGGAAACGTCTCAGCTGTGGAGCAGATTCCCTGCCCTCCTCCTCGCTAGACTTGAAAGATCACAAAATCCCTCGTGACTTCAAAGGTCATGTTTTGTTTATGTCATTCGCTATTAAACCAAAAAGAAGAATATCACAGTTTGATGTGTTGATGTTGTTCCTCTCCACTGCCAGTATTAAAGCCATGAAAACACACTGTTGCACCTCTCGAAAGATGCTGGCAGTAAATAAGTCGTTAGGTCACTTGTATTGACGTAATCTACATTGATATGAAATCTAATCACTGCAATGGTCTTTTATTTTGAAAATTACTGAACGTTTTAAACTGAAACCATGTGTGATTTACTATCTGGCCCCGTGTTAACTGTGGAAACTGTCGTGTCCCAGAAGCAGCTCGTGGAAAAAAAATAGGAGACAATCCTATCTTAAGCGGCACGGTGAGCCACTTTCGGGACGCACTCGAAATGTTCCGTGCCACGGCCAGTTTGGATCAACCCTGATTTTATTTGAAACAGCGACGCTCCACTGCTGTTCCACGCCACTGATGCCTTCAGTGTGGATTCGGGGTTACAGTATCCGATGTTGTAACATTTTCTGCGAACAATAGACTGTGACTGTAGGGAGGAGCCTGAAAAAGGGGGTTCGCCTTTTGAAGTCATGGCTTTTCCCAAGAACTCCGACTTCCCCTTCAAGCAACTTTTGCTCCTATAGTTGAAGGAACGAGTGAAGCTGCAAAAATAATGGAATAGCTTTATTCGGTGGATTAAAGTGGTCACATAGCATTTTTAACTGTGTTACTGCAGGCGATTGAAGCCAACCTGGTACAGAAGTCACCTGGAGGTCTCACCTACATGGCTGAGTGGAGAGGAGGGATCCTGGACCACAAGATGGGCCACCTGGCCTGCTTTTCTGGAGGAATGATCGGGATCGGGGCTGATGACGGGGCGCCAGAGAAGAGGCAGCATTACCTGGACCTCGCTGCCGAGATCACTCACACATGCCATGAGAGCTACACCCGCTCAAGTGAGTAGAAATGTTGATTAATTCAGAAATGCATGAGGGGTGTGCTACAGGTCGACTCTAAAATGTTGCACGCACATAGAACAAGCTCAACTGGCCAGTTGTCTTACAGTGGATGAACTATTGTAGATCATTTTGGAGAGGCAGTCATAAGTAGTTGTTGAGAGTTTGTCTCAAGGGTGTCCTCCTGAATCAGTGAACCGGAAGAAGAGAGATTTACATATCTATTTATTTATTTTTATAAGAGCTGAGCTGCTCAACCTTATTAGTAATTTCCTGATTGTCATTAATGAAGCATGAGGGTGTTCTGAGCAATTTCTATTTGCATCTAATGATTTTACAGATATCCTATAATTTTAAAGACCAAGTTCGCTGCACGAAGAGTTGTCCGCCAGTTGCAAGCGCGAGTGCTTTTTTCCAGATACATCGACTCACAAGGCATTCATTCATACTACCCTGCAGACAGTCAACGTCGCGTGGACGTGCAGATCGTGTCTATAATGAATCCATCGGAGCAGACCACGTCTGTAGGCTGTAGAGCTCAGTCAGCTTGTGTAATTTCATCCAACAGTTTACGTAAAAACTAACACTTTTACATACATGTTTGAAGCCATTATGCAACAAAGCTCTACCTGATCAACACTATAAATGATAAATGATCCGCACTCGTATAGCGCCTCTCAGAGTAAGGACTCCAAAGCGCTTTACACTACAGTGTATCATTCATCCATTCACACACACACATTCACACACTGATGGTGATGAGCTACGATGTAGCCACAGCTGCCCTGGGGCGCACTGACAGAAGTGCCCCACTATTTAATTCAGTCATTAATTCTCCCAATCAATTACTAACCAAAACCTCATGCTTTATGCAAAACATTAAATGATTTTCAGAATACCGATCTTTACAGAAAACATAAAAACCCTAAAAAACTGCACATAAAATATACTAAGAAACAATATTCACTTATCACTTAGAGCAGTGGTTCCCAAACTTTTCAGCCTGACCAACAGATGTTCCTTCGGATTTTTACATTATTTAGAAACTTTCATTATATTTGGAAAGTTTTTATTTGTACATAAATATATCAAACTCTTTTTAAATTTTATATTTTACTTTTTTATGATTATGTGGCACACTTGACTTCCATACCTAACGCATCGGCATCTGCCTCTTTTTACGGCTTTTTTTTTTTTTTTTTTTACATTGTTGCTATGTCTGTCACATTTGCGGTGTTTTACCATCATTTCTACACCCACCACGTCCCAGAGAAGGTTAAACCAACATCAAACCCAACGTTTGGAGCTTGTAAACTCCACACACCTCTCGTGCAGCACCAGCTGTCTGATGCTGCAGCAGCGTCAATCGTCCTGGCTGGATGAGTGAATTTCTTCATCGGAGTCAATAATATGCTTCATAATCAGAGTCATTACCAGACAAAGTGATCAGTCAACAACGACCAGACCTGCCGGCAATTATACGTTTTATCTAATATTTGCGCTCTTCATGCTGCACGCATCTCCTCCTCTCCCCGACTGGGAGCCTCACGGCGGGAGGCGATTTTCAAACTCTTAAAAACTCCCAAACTTTGCTCAGTCTGAAGGTTACACATTTCCACTATCTTCTGGTGTAAAGTAGTAACTTCATGAGGGATCATATTTGTAGATGAGACTTGTTAAAGTCAGCAATGAGGCTTTGGCGCTTATAAGGAGTATGTCCCAACACTGACAACAACGTACTGAATCTAGAACCAACATGCATAAACAGACAGATCGGTCCCGCCTACTTACACTGTTGGTCTTTTTTAAATACGCAGTAATTGTTGCTTGCCTTTTTCGCTTCATCCTGTCTCCTAGCAGCAACCACTTTGGCACCTCTGGAGTTGGTGTTTGTTTACGTCATGCTGCATTTAATGTAATTGGAAAAAGGAGCTTCAAGCGCTTAACCTCCGATTTTGTTTTCTTTCTGGCCTTAGTACGAGGGACGGATCGGGGTCGATCTGAATCTGTTGGGGGGGGGGGGGGGGGGCAGATCCCCCCTTTCCCCCATCCTATCTGCGCGCCTGCTCAGACCCCACCGCCCCTGTGGCCAGAATGCCGAACTTGCAACTTCAAAGTTGCCGGGCCGCTACTTGCTTGTGGAGGGAGCTGTGGAGTGGAGTGGAGCCAACACGGTGGAGCTGGAGTCTGCTTCCAGCACGTTTCCTGCATGTTTTAGATCATGAACACAGCTGGTTTGTTTGATTTAGCTCCTGTAGAAACTTATGAAAGCTGAGGAGACATCACAGCGAGGAGATAAGTTTCATTTTCGGTTTAATCACAGTGAATTAATGACAGACACTAAGGCATACTAAAAGCAAGCTAAACTGCCTAGAATTATTTTAAGCAATCATTCTTAGTTTTGGGGACTTTCTTCATTTCTGACTGTAGCAGCGACTGCTAGTGGGATTGAGGAATGCGGAAGGAGTTGTTTTATTACAAAGAGGTTTTGTTTAACTTGGATCATAGATTATTTATCAGAGCACTTCAACCTTTATCTAGTTGGATTGCCAACTAACTGAAAAAAGAGTTTGCCAGCTGCAGTGGGCTTTAAACTCATTAGACACTGTAACCTGTGCAGGTTTAAATCTCTAATGCTTTGAGTGAAATTCAGCTGGAACACCAGTGAAAGTCTAGATAAGCAGAAGTGCCATCCCAGAAAAAGCAAACATGATTATTTTGCAGGAACATGAAATAGGTAAAAGGAGCCAGGTTCACAGAGCCAGAAAAATGGATGGAATTAAAGTAGGCTGATTAGCATCCAGTACAAGCTTCAAAGTGCATGAGCCATCCTTTCCTGGCCCCACACAGATTAACAGGATAAAGCCGAAGCAGAAGGAATACCATGGTTTAGTCACTTTAATTGCAGCGATTGGACCGATCGCGTCGGGGTTAAGGAGATTCTGTTCTTGTTTTTGCAGCGGGCCTCCTTGGCATGCAGCAACAGTCATTTGATATGTATAATTTAAATACAGAACGGTGTCTGCAGAGCAGAAGTGGAGAAATAAAAAAAAATTAAACACGTGCTTGCTTTTTAAAAGCAGAAAAATTTGTTGATAATTTAAACACCAACAATATACCGTAATTTCTGGACTATAGAGCGCACCTCAATATAAGCCGCACCGGGCTAAAAGCCGCAGATATCTACTGAATTGAAAACGTAGTTTAACTGAACGTAACTGAACTGATCAGTATCAAACAAAACAGAAAAGTTATTGATTAGTTTATTCATCGTCCTCCTGTGCCCTGAAACCACTGAAGTCATCTTCTTCAGTGGCGGAGTTAAACAGCCTCAGAAGAGCTTCGTCACAAACCTTTTCTGTGGCGATGTCAGTGTCGCTGTCCGTGTCGCTGTCATCATCCCGGGGTGAAGCTGGGAAAACAAGCAGCGCCGTTATACTGTGAAAAAAGTCCTCCTGGGCGCTTTCCGTAGCACTCCTTTAACCGTTCCTTCATTAGACTTTCCAGCATCCATCCTTTCTGGTTGACTAAAGCTGCACCTCATTATAAGCCGCATGGTTCAAAGCGTGGGAAAAAGTAGCGGCTTATAGTCTGGAAAATACGGTATTTAATCAGATTGTTTCTTCCATGTTTAGTTGGATCGTTTAGTCGATTTAAGTCAAACTTGGGTACCTAAACAATTAGTAGCACAATCAACACATGCCCATTGGCAGGGAAGGCTTGGGGCCTCCATAGGGCCGTCAAACAAGTCAGAACCACTACATTAGTCATACACTGAAAAGTTGTTGTTTGACAGCACTATTGTCCGTCTCACACTGGCTGAACTCACCCGCCCCGACCGACAACGACCGCACGCAGAGCCGGACAGCTTTGGGCCTCATGACAACCTTGCAGCGCCTCTGAGTACAATATTCAAAAGGTTTAAAAAAAACAAGTATAGAACTAACTATTCACTCAAACTAAAATAGTGAGATTTGTTGCCAAAAGAAGCTTTTTAAGTGGCACCAGCAGAAAGGTCTGATTGGAAACAAGTTATTTTCTAATATTTAATCGCTGCAGTAAACAAACATTGGGCCTCAGAGCCCCCAGAAGAAGGAACAACAGAATAAATGCAGCTATTAAAACTCGTAAGGTAAATGTACTGTGGCTCCGACCTCTCACTGACTACACTTAGATCCTAAAGACGAACCCAGGAAACATCTCCATCCTCCTGATAATCTCTACAAATTTCAAGATTTTCATTCCCCCACTATTGGTGTGGGCTGTAATTATTCATCCTCAACACGCTCTTTGCTTTGAATTCAGCAGCAAGCTAATGTGACTCATCACAGTTTCCCTGATATGCTTTGAATACTTTTGATCTGTGGGCCTAAAAAGCCTCTCCAGTTTTCTCTTTCAAAGTCCTCCGCCAGGTTCTCTGACTGGGGTCCGTGTAATGCTCTGCAGCTCTGGGATTAGCCGAGTGCACTAAAGAGGGAAGTGAGATTTTCACTTGCATGTGTTTAAAGTGGCTGCCATGATCTGTGTTTTAAATACTGATGCAGCAATGTCATGCTGCTGCTATGAATCTGTCATCACACCTGTAGTCTGATGTTGAAACAGCTGCAGGAAGCCCAAACGGATTCAGGGAAAGGCGTTCTGATGGACTTAATGCTTAGCTGCGTTTATTCCTGCTAATGGAATGGCGGGTTTGACACAGGAATTATAATCAGAATAAATGAAAATGCTTTAGAAAAGGATGCCAGAAGATGTGGTTTTGTGACGACCTTCAAAGGGAAAATGGTGGAGTCAAGTATTTGAGACACAGTCAAACAATCCCGCTAAGATAGAACCCTGAAGCTTCCCGACATCAGTTACAGGAAATTAGCATTTCAAACCTGCAGCCAGTTGAACCGCTGCCTTGCGATTTTTAAGAATCTGTTCTGCACGTTTGTTAGGTTATTTCTTCAGCCTTTAATATTAATGAGTTTAGACATATGCAAGATTACTTTGCATTAAATTATGTAGTCCAAGCCCGAACAAATTTAGCATCACAAAGCTACCGTTTCATTCCCAAAAATGCTAAACGTGTTCTGACACAATTTTACAGTATAATTGTTTGAATGCTGTAAGCGAGGTTTTCCGGGCACGTTCAACTGGAAGAAAACCTAAAAGGGAAATCAGGACACATTGTAGGGACTATGTCTCTCGCCTGGCGAAGGAATGTCTTGGGGTTCACCCAGAAGAGCTGGCCCAAGTGGCTGGGGAGAGGGAAGTCTGGGCTTCTCGACTTAGGCTGTTGCCCCGGTGACTCGACTCCAGATAAGCGGAAGAGGATGGATGGATGGATGGATGGATGGGTGGGTGGGTGGGTGGGTGGATGGATGGATGGATGGATGGATGGATATTACAACCAATACCTCTTTGAGCTTGTAATCAAGTAGGGCTAACACTAAGAGATGGGATTGTTCATTGGTAAGAGGCTGAAAGGTGGATTGAGGCATAGATTGTGATGCTGACATAGTTTGTTTTAGTTAAAAAAAAGTTTGGTAAAAAGGTAAATATACCAGTTTCCTGTTGATCTTCATTTGCACCTTCACCTACTGAATATAGATACTGACTAGAAGTGTTAAACCTAGAACCAGCCACATGTGAACAGTTTCTGAAGGGTAAATGTGCTTACAGATGCTGGTAGTTTGGACATCTGGGTTGGATATCATCTGTACTCTGTCCAAGCGGGCAGACCAGAGACTTAGTGGATACATCACAGTTGGCTTAGGAACCCGTCTGTGTGAACCAGAGAGAGGTCTGGCGATCTGTGGTTCGACTGTTGGCTGTGGCATGGTCCCAGACAGTTTGGGGAAAGTTATCACTTCACAAAACCTCGTTTAAAATTCAGTCTCAGCAGGGAGCCTTATTTCATGTTGCCAAAGTGAGCTCTGCTCATGGTGTGTTTAAAGTTTACAGAAAGCCTTAGAGCCAGCTCGTTTGAGAGATGGATAGATCCTCATAAATGTGTCACTATGATGTTATGTCAACTCGTTAAACTTATTTAAACAGGTCATTTATGACGTTTTAAAAGAGGAAATGTCAGAAGACATTTTGAAGTGTGCCAATATCGATACTGCATGTGATTCCAACTTTGTGACATTAGCTTGGACTAAATTTCTATATTTAGACGTAAAAGCTCTATAGGAGATGGACAAAATCATGATAGAATCCCAGGACAGCATTAATGGCGGCATTAATATTCATGCATTAGTCCTCATATTCATACAATGGCCAGTGCTTATGACTATATGACTATTGTAACACACGTGGTTGTTATCAGTGGAATTATGTAAAAACATCTAAGGACAATTGTTGAGCTTGCACCATTTTTAGACAATGATCTGATATTTTTTTAACGGATTTGAGTAAATTTGAGCATTAACTTACTTAATGGTCTGTGGTTAATTTGCAACAGGTTGTTCTCTGTTGGTTCACAGCAGCAACTTGGGCATCATTAATGCTGATCTGAGGCATGAATAAAGGTGTTGAATCAAAAACTTGTTTAGAAAAACCCTGTTTCTCTGACATACTGCTTTCTGTGGCTTTGTACTCTACATACCGTGGCTTGCAGCGGCTAATAACTTACTGTCCGACAGACCAACAAGTTGCTTTTTCCTCCATTTCCTTTTTTACACAGGGACTGATAAATAATGTATCATGTCTATTTGCAAGAACCAGTAAACATTTTACTGCTTTGATGTCCTTTTTTCTGCTGTATGCTTCCTCGCGCATGATAATGGGTCAAGTGACATAGAAGCTTGCCATTTCAAAGCACACAAATTTTTTTTATGTTCATTAAAAATGAATAAAAAGTAAACTTTGTTTGCATCTCTCTCTGTCAGCTACAAAACTGGGACCTGAAGCCTTTAGATTCGACAGCGGTGCCGAGGCTACGGCGACTAGACTGAGTGACAGATATTACATCCTGCGACCAGAAGTCATCGAGAGCTACATGTACATGTGGAGACTGACCCATGACCCCAAGTACAGGGACTGGGGCTGGGAGGCGGTTGAGGTGAGGTCATTATTACTGGTACTCAATTGAAATAAGGTTAAACTGACCCTCTTTAGCTCATCTGTTATTCTTTATGTTCTTACAGCCTAGGAAAACATTTTAATCAAAGGGTTTTTCTTTTTTCTGCAGAAAAAATGACATCTTTATAGATTCAAGATTTAGTAAAAAATAAATAAATAAATGAACAACATTAGTTGGGTCAACCTTTGTAGTTTTTTTAATGTCCTGGAAAGGAATTTAAACACAACAACAGTGTCTGGGTCACTCTGTTAAAACTCGCTTTAGTTAAGTTTCCTGACTAGTGCTAACAACTCCTGTATTTAGCAAAGTAAAAGTTAGTGAATTTACTATTCATTTATTAGCAAAAAACTTTTAGATTGCAAACCCATTTTTTTTATTTCTACTTCACATTTTCTATTTTAGGCTGCGCAGTGGTGCAGTGGTTAGAGCTGTTGCCTTACAGCAAGAAGGTCCTGGGTTCGCTTCCCGGCCTGGGATCTTTCTGCATGGAGTTTGCATGTTCTCCCTGTGCATGCGTGGGTTCTCTCCGGGTACTCCGACTTCCTCCCACAGTCCAAAAACATGAGTGTTAGGTTAATTGGTCTGTCTAAATTGTCCTTAGGTGTGTGTGTGTGTGTGTGTGTGTGTGTGTGTGTGTGTGTGTGTGTGTGTGTGTGTGTGTTGCCCTGCGATGGACTGGCTCTCTGTCCAGGGTGTACCCCGCTTGATTGCCCCTAGACACACTTTGTGTCTAAATTCAGGGCTAGCATTCTTGTCAGTACTCAGTCTACCAGGTGCATGTAGGTCGGGTCCTTCCTCGACCACTTAGACCGGAAGTTAACGGCTCTGTAATAGGAAGGTGTAGCTTTCATATTTAGTCCCATCCCTACTTGTCACCTAGCAAATGTGAAGGCACAACACAGAAGTGTTATATATATATATATATATATATATATATATATATTTTTTTTTTTTTTTTTTTTTTTGCTGTAACACATGACGGAATATGGGACAGATATTACGATACTAACATTGAAAACTGCTTCGTCCGCGAATTATTACAAGAAAAATATCTGTACAACTTGCAGTGAATCCTGGGCTAGCCTTAGCCTACGAGGATACACCAGACACATCCTCAAAGTTCGGGGAAAAGAGTATACATATCATTTTGAGTAGGGCTGCATGATATTAGGAAAACCTGCGATATTCGATAACGGTGCTTAATATTGCTATATCGATATTACTCACGATAAATGAACAAATACTAAAGTATGCAGTGTTGATGTCGTCTGGCGTGTGACGTCTGCTCTGGGTTCAAAGCAAACAAAAACTAATGCTTGAATTCCATTACAACATCACATTTTTATTGAGAAAATATGCAGCTGCACCTGCTACTGTATTAGCAGCAAAACAACAAACTGCATGCATGCAGTTTCTCAGTGACTTTAAAACATCACCTCCACCATAAAACTTTTTCTGATGCTCCAAATACAGAAAAACATCCCTTTCCAGGGTTTTTGGAATACATAAAAATCAGAAAGTTTAAATGTTAATAGTTAACATCACTTAAATGCAACAGCAAATTCTCTCATTGCTACTGAGCATTTTCTCCACTTATGTGGTTATGATATAAGGCTGTTGCTGCTATTGGGAAGTGAACTGTGCTGGGCCAAACTAGGAGAATATTAAGATTTTCTGAGGGAAAGAGAAAAACAATTGTCTACCTTTCAGAAGAGGAACTGGCAAAAAAAAAAAAAAAACTACATGGAAAATATGTGAAAATATTTCTTTTTGACCCCAAATTGAACAAGTTTACCTAGATCTTAAAAAGCAGCTCAGATGATGAAACTGCAACTATGATTCTGGTAACAAGCTAACAAATTGAACTAGCTCCTCTTAAGACAACCGGCTAGCAGAGCTTCTGACTGACAGTTTATGTGCAGCAGCAAATCAACTATCCTGACTAACAAGGTTATAAAAGCTCATAAATGAAAAATCACTTTGATGTGTGGGGGAACTTTTCCAGGCCCTCTTTAGCAGGGTGGGACTGGGAGGAGAGTGCTGTAGCCTTTTAGCTGGAAGCTAACCGGAGCCTGGGGCTAACATCACCACCCGGTGGAACACTAGCGACATGGAGGTGGGTTGGTTCACCGGCACGTGTCGGAGTCAGCCCAGTAAAAAAGATTAACAACACCGAGCGGACTCACGTTCACGTTTGAAAGCAGCGCTGATTCCAGAAACCTCAGCACAAAGTGCGTTCGTTGCTCTGAGCCAGCATGACGAACAAGGGAACGGCGCCGCTAACTCAGTTCGGGTGTTGCTTTCCATCCTAAAGATCGCTCATTCCAGGCCGTCGCTCCTAGGCTCTGGAATGAGCTACCTTTGTCTTTACGCTCAATCGACTCAGTTGATGTTTTTAAGAGCAATCTTAAAACACATTTGTTTCTCCAGGCATTTTAAACTTAGTCTCATTCGGATTGGTTGTATTTGACACTATGTATATTGTGGCTGTATTTTACTGTATTTATATGTTGTTGCCTTTTAACTTGTGAAGCACTTTGTGACCTTTTTTGTCTGTGAGAGGTGCTATAGAAATAAAGTTACTTACTTACTTACTACTTACTTACTAAAGGTCTACGTAGGGGGCGGGCGTATTACGTGAACAGACCCATCTGATACATTTGATTGGTCAAATAATACTTCCGTGTACAAAACAGAGCTGGTTTACAAAAAGTTAACGTATGACACGGATGGAAATGTTTGAACCAAACATTTATCGCCATTTTTGACGTGCTTTGCGATGGGCCTATCGCATGTCCTGTTATCCCGATGACGATAATTTTTCAATATATTGTGCAGCGCTAATTTTGAGTGTCCTTCAAATTTGGTTGGCCTTGCCGCTTCGCAATGACGCACTTGGCCTTAAAATACGTACTCGGAAGGGTGCAGTCCTTGGATTTGTACACAGCCAGTGATCAGGCTTAGAGAGCGCCACATCTAAAATAGTCCGGGTGGAAACGGTTCGTAAATGTGGTATTCTTCAGTTTCTCTGGCTTTTGGCATGACCCGCATGATAAAAAATCTTTATCTTCCCACTCCTACATGTAAATATGATGTAATTAGTCACTAAAAAGAGACGACATCATTAAAATTAACTCTTTATTTACTTTATTTAATTCAAATCCCCTCTAGCCTGTGCAGCATGCAATAATAATTTTTTCATACATGACTACTGTGAAGTGCAGTTTTGTGAGCTATATTTTTCTCCTACTGGTGACCCAGATTCTCATTTTCTAGGTTATGCTCTCACTAGTTTAGTCAAGCCTCTTTAATACTCTCAATTAGCCTCGAACCTCTTCCCTGAAATTTTACAACGCCATACATTCTCTGGTTGATCAGACAGTTCTACTATCAGGAGATGAAAGCTGTGGAGGAATCACTATTATTAACGTGGCATTGGACAGGACATTAACAGTGGTAAACTGTACAGAGCTGAGCGAGTTAGTATTAATTTAACACACAGTAGAGGAGAAATCAGGCTGACGATTTTGACGGCCCTGTAATTATCAGGCACAAAGGTTGGAAGCAGTGAATAACACTTCTGCTCAGGAACATCAAGCATTAACATGTCAGGGTCTTTGTTAATTAGCACGTATAAGCAGGCCCTTTGTAGCCAGAGTAATAATGAGTTAATCCACTTGGCTAGCTCAGCCACTCTCCACTCACCCTTGTCAGATTTAGCATTACTTGTATTTCACGTGGCACGCCGGTCTGAAAGGCTTGACGTGTTACTTCATTCTTTATTTTTTTCTTAGGCGTACATAAACGCCAAATTGATCAAAGAATTTTCTTTACCAACCAAGCAGAATAATAAATATGCTCGCTTGTAAGCTCTGATCCTTCAAACTGCATTTTTAATTAGTGTTAATTCCTTAAAAATGCATGAAGGGATGAGGTGTTTGACTGCGTAACTTACCTATATACTTCCTGTCAGGCACTGGAGCAGCACTGCAGAGTGGAGTCTGGCTTCTCTGGGATCCGTGACGTGTACACCATGACAGTCAGCCATGACAACATGCAGCAGAGCTTCTTCCTCTCTGAGACACTTAAGTAAGTCCCCTTTTCTCTTCCTCCCTCTCCATTCCTGCAACTTCCCACTGGTGAGAGAAAGCTTATTTTAAAATCTGCTTGGATAACCCATCATCGCCGTGAAAGTAATACAGGGGCTGATACAGAACGCTGGAGATTCATCTTCACCTATTATCTGTTCTGCCCACGAAGGATATTCGTGCTTTGAATGAAACACAGACACAATCTCTGCTTCAGAGGTGATTCTAATCACACTTTGAATAGGATACTTTTCACCCATAAAAAGAAATAAGGACAGTGGATAGACATTTCAATTTTACCTGTTCTTGGGTTATTAAGTTACACAAACCAGTGGGAGTGCTTTGGCGTATCACAGCACAGGAGGGCAAAAGCTGGCGTGTCTGAAGTCTGGGGCATTGGGAATCATTCAGGTCAGCAGTCACAATACAGCGGTACTGCTTCATTCGGTTCCACATGCTTCTTTAAAAGGGAAGTGACTAATCTTGATTTTTTAAAATCTCCGATAGTGAATAATTTAGCTTTTCTTAGCAGGAGCAAACCATTGCAGCGAGACAGTTGTGGGAATTTTTCTTGTGCATTAAAGAAGAAAATCTAGTTTAAATGACTATTTTGAAGATGGAAGGCAGCTGGAATAGAAAAATAGGACAAGCGTTCTCTTGTTTATCAGATTGTGTGGGACATCTCTGCTGAAGGATGACAAAGCAGTCTGACAGCCAGTTCTGTACCGATACGGTCGGTGTGTTTACATAATACAGTTCTGTGAAGCCCTTCGGGCACTCCATGTTTCTTTGTATTTCCCTTCCAAGGAACCCAACTTTCTTGCAATTTTCAGAAGCGATGTTGGAAATTTGAGGATTTTTCTTTTGACTTTGACATTATTTTCTGCAGACCTTGTTTCTGACCCTTTTCAAAGGAGGTATTGAGCCGCTTAAAGCTGCAATAGCAAATCTGCAAAACAAGCTAGCTTAAAAAATGTGTTATGCCTCTTAACAACATTCATACACAGTATAGAAATAAATATATTGTAGAGATTTAAAAAAAATGTAATGAAGTGGTTCTCTCGTGTTTGTCTAAAAACCTCAGCCAATAACATGACTCGGTCCAAAACCAACCATTGGACTATCCCGTTGTCCGTCTCACCGGACTTCCGCACTTTCCTGGATCTTCCATTCATTCTGTAATCGCGCATTTTGCCATAGATGTCACACACTGGTGTGGTGTGGGGAAAATTGTCCTCAGCATTTGACCCATCCCTGCAGACAGCCGTGCTCGAGAACAATTTGGTGGTGTAACCCTGACTTAAAACTGTATGGGTCAAGGGTAGACCTGCAGAGCCAAATCCTTAGCTACTGCTACAGTTGCCTGGATTTTTAGGACAGAAAACTGGAGTATTAGGGCTTGTGTAACTTTTTTTTTCTGGTTTTAGGTATCTGTACCTGCTTTTCTCAGACGATGACCTGCTGCCTTTTGAAGATTGGGTCTTTAACACAGAAGCCCATCCGTTGCCCATCGTCCGCAAAAGCTGCATGCAAAACGAAGCAACAGAGGAAACCACGGTCTCCGAATAATGCTGAACACTGAAGTACAGAGACAGTTAACACAAATGCACAATAAGTGTGCACGCACAGACTCACAGGCATCACAAACACCTTATTCAATGAAGGTTCAGAGTCTTTTCAGGAGTGTGTTACTGACTCTTAATTCCTTTCCAGTAAAGGAAATTGTCGTTTTATGCTGTGATTGTATATCTTTCGCCAGGGTTGCTTCCTGCTGGCACTTCTTTTTTTTTTTTGTGGACAATCAAAACAAATATGACTTTCATGAAAAGATCATTTTTTTCTTTCTTCCTTTCCTCTGTGAGGAAACCAGTATAACTTAGACCCAAATGTACTGAAGGAGGTTTGAACTATGGGCCATATTTTCCGAGAGCGAAAACCACTTTCCTTTTTCTCCTCAGTCTAGGTTTTCGTTAATCTTGTGTGGGTATTTTTCTGGTTTTCCTTCGTGGGTATACTCTTTCGCCAAAGGTTTCTTTGTATTTCCTATTTTAACAAAAAGTTAAGATTCAAATATGAACTAGAAAAATGTACAGACGAACACGAAACGTGAGTCCACCTCCAAACTATTTTGATGTCATGTTTCTTTCTGAAACAAGTTTGAATGAATTTTTTTAAAAAGGTCATAGATGTCAGGAAAGTGGGCCATTTTAAAAAAACTAAAACATGTTGGTTTGTGAATCTGCTTTATGATTGGTTACTTTGTTCCAACAGGAAGTCCTCTCAGCCTTTCACATTAAACTGGAGTACTCTCCGTTCTGTCACTGTAAAACAAGCTTAAAGGGTTGGGATTAACAAACATCTGAAGTTGTTTTTGTGTTTAATTTCGTTTGGGTAGTCACTCTGCCTTCACATGCATCCATTCGACTCTGACTCTGCAGAGACAGGCTTTTATTTTTATCACTGTTCTTTTAATTGTTTCTCTTCTGCACAGTTACGGCGTGAATGTGATGTACATACCGATGAAGTGAGTGACACCTGTATGACCTTGTCCTGACTTTTATTCTGTCTTCATTTTGTGTTTCTATGACTTCAGTGGCTGTTTTGGTTTTCACTTGGTTTTCTTTTGATTTGCTTCCCTCAGGTGTTTGAGTAAAAAATGGAAAAAAATTATAATTAAAATCTTCGAATTTTAAGTCTAGTTCTTTGCTGATATTATTGTTATTACTTATTCTTACTGTTTGATTTACCTTTGATTGTTGAGTACTTTCAAATACTGATAAAAATGTGCAACTTTGTACATTTAAAAGAATTGGTTGTCATGTCATTTTTGTTATTGGCCCAACAGATACACAAGTTTTTAAAATTAAAATTAAACACTGAACTTTATAGTTTTTAGGAAATCCTTGAATCTCAGGAAACCATAGACTGATATTCAAAGACAATAGAAGTAAAACCATCAGATTTCATTCAAAAACTCATCAGTGAGAATCAACCTGCAAGTTTTTTTTAATTATTACTTTTGTTACTAACAAATCCCAAAGGTCTGTGTAAAAATATGGTACACCTAAGAACTATAGACATATAATAATCTTGGACAAAGCACCACTAATTTACCTCATATAGCCAAATGAAGCCAAATGGGCGAATACCACCACCATCTTGCCCATGTCACACATCTCGTCACACCCAGACAATCCACAAATGGGAAAAGAGGTGGAGCTGAGAATGGGGCTGTGAGAGTGGGAGCAAATGACTGACACCCAAAAACTCCCGAAGCTTACACGAAGCTAGCACAGCCACAGAACCCTGCGGTCAGAGCTGGGCGCCTGGGCCGTATATGTGAGCTCATGCTCCTCTCCTCCACCACAGTTGGAAATCAGTGGGAGATTAGCAACATGCTAACCTGAAACTACCTGGAGCTTGTAGTCAATTTGCTCCGTTTTGAATCCAGCGCGCAGCGGATGTGGATGGAGCTGCAGTTTTTGTGACTTCTGCATTGGCTTCACAGTTTGCAAGAAGAAAAAAGGCTGGCCCTTGATAAGAAGACAAAATAAAGGCAACAGGCAAAGCGTAAGATTCGGGCTAACATTATGTCCACCATTCACACCCTATTATAACTTGATATAAGTATAGAAAAAGTACAAAGAACATAGAAAACGAATCAAAGAGGTCCACATGGCAGGGGTGAGGTGGTGCTCACTCCTGCCATGTGGACCTCAAGCAATAAACCATCAATCCTGCTCAATGGTCGACTTTCCTGGCGGGGTCACCCATAAAGACAGTGGGAGGGTTGAGTTGTAAAGTCATATAGGCTTCCAGTAGGTTTGATTTTGCAACAGTGGCACAGGACTTAAGTGCTCGCCCCGTAATCGGAAGGTTGCAGGTTCGAGCCCTGCTCAGTCTGTCGCTGCCGTTGTGTCCTTGGGCAAGACACTTTACCCACATTGCCTGCTGGTGGTGGTCGGAGGGACCACTGGCGCCCGTGCTTGGCAGCCTCGGTTCTGTCAGTGCGCCCCAGGGCAGCTGTGGCTACATCGTAGCTCATCCCCACCAGTGTGTGAATGTGTGAATGACTGATTGTATTGTAAAGCGCCTTGAGGGGTTCCAGGACTCTAGAAGGCGCTATATCAAATACAGGCCATTTACCATTTACCATATTTAGGGTGAGGAATCAGCAGTCTGGCTTTTACGCAGAGAGTGCAGGACCTATGCAGGAGACCATGACAATGTTGTGTCTTGTATGCAAACAAGCACTGAGCATAACTTTTTGGATTTGGAGGCGAGATAGATAGTGGGTTTATGTCTGTAAATGAAAGGTTAACTTGTGGTCAATTAGATGGTGAAAAATTGACCCTTTGGTACGTTACACGTGTCTACATCACGATTAGACACTCATCTATATATCAGCAAAAAATGTTGATCTGGAGGGGACTTGTGGTGTTAGAAGCCTGAACATTACTTTCTGCTGCTGTTTCACATTAGTGGTGTATTTGGGCAATAATTTGGCTGTGACCAGCTTCTAACGGATAGATAAAGACGTAGACAAAATTGTTGGTACCCTTCGGTCAATGAAAGAAAAACCCACAATGTTCAATTAATAATAATAATTGGTAATAATTATTCAAAATTCTATGAAATTTTACCATTGAAAGTCAGACATTGTTTTGTAACCATGCTTCAAAGGAATTATTTAACAAAATAAACACATGGAACATGCCAGAATAATAATTATGGCACACTTAGAAAAGGCTGAAAGTAATGTGGTCAAAGGGACATGTCTAGGTTTCTATCATGTTATGAGAAAATTATATAATTTTATCATCAATCTCTTGTTAATACAAGATTCTGCTCCTTTATTTTTCCCTGCACTGACAGTAATATGCTTCCCATAATATTGGATGGAAAAACTGCCATTATTCTAGATTCTTCATTATTCCTGTTGTTGATGGCGTTAATGAGACCATGGGCCACATTTTGAAAACCCCTGCAGTCGAAGATTCCTCAAGCTGGACAAACTGGTATCTGATTGGAACCAATTAAGTACTGCGTTGTCTATAAGGGGAAGAGGTCGAGTTAAAAGCTGTAGTCAGATTCAGCAGCTAAAATAAAGTTGTTCACTGCACCATCTCGTCCAGTCGATAACACAGGACCTGATATATTCCCTCCATGGTATACCCACTGTCATCCAAGTGGGAATTTCAGGAGAATAGACTGAGGTGATTTTACATCGGCGCTAACCAATGGAAGCATGCATTACTGACATTTCCTGCAGTTTAAAGACATTACCTTTGAAAATATAATTGGTGTTGTTAAAAAAAGATGCAGAGATGTGCATTCAGATAAATATTAACCACGTTGAAGCCTGCAGCAACAATATAATCCTGACATTTTCCTCGCCGACAGCAGGGTAATGAAAAGAAGGGTGGAAAGTAAAAGGGCACAAAATGTAACCTCACATGGGGTTGCTTGATTTTCACCCCAACATAAATAGGTCTGTATAAAAATAAATCCTTTTTATGTTTCTTTGCTGCTTCTAAACTCCAGCTAAAACTATACTAATGGGACTGACTCTGATTTATGTAAACCAGTAGAAGGTATTGCATCTCACAGGCCTGTTTGATGTAGATGACAAATATCTGCCTATTAAAAAAAAAAAAATAATTAGAAACTGCATTACTTTTAAAGTAGACAACCAAATGTGCTGATATTTCCCTTAAAATTCAGATTTGAGCATAAACATTAATGGCTAAAGAAATTTTACATTAATCTGTTTCATAGAGCTGAAATAGGTCATGCATTTTCAAACGGAAAGCATTTATTCACACAGCAGACTTCGTCCTGATTTCGTACAGTTGCTGTTAGACACAAATGTCATTCAATGATTAAAGTGTAGAAGCAGAAAAAGCAGGAAAACCTAATTTGATCTTTAATCTACGCGTCGCTATTTCATTTGTTTCTTTAAATTTACCAGATAATTATCTATGCAGACGATTCACATTTAAATATGCAGGTTGAAACTGCGGTATTAAAATAACAACATATGGATCAATCACATTTCAACACCCTGACCATAAAACACCATTGTGCAAAAGTGAATTAGAAATGTGCCTTTATTTTATAATCTGTTATACATTTAATAAATTGCATACATTTAATGAATATGTTATGAATGGCCACCAGAAAGTCAGCTGAAAAACTTTTACAAATAAATTAGCTAGCTTTACTTAATAATAGTGAAAATACTTCATGAATTCATTTATTTAATTTAAAAACTCTACAAAAAAAGATTGTCGGCATAAAGTTGAAACATTTGAAATCAAGGGAATAAAAAACTAAATGTCTTGTATTTTCCAGTATAAATGAGAATTTTGGCCTCCTGAGTGAACTACATTTTTTAAAGAGCAAGTCCCCCCAACGCTGATACAGCATCTGGGAGCATCAGGTCATTTATAAGTGGTCAGACCGTGGCAGTAATGTGGTGCAATCATGTTCTTTTTACAAAAGATTACGCAGTGGTGGTATAAAGAGGTAGCCTGGCCTTCCAGACTCGTTCGGTGTTTAATTCTACACAGAGAACTAGTCTGGTTACTCACAGGCAGAGAGGAACATGAGGGGTGGGAGTCGGACTAGCCAGCTCAAAAATAGCCAATCAGAAAAAAGGCAGAAATGCCGACTGTACCGTGCAACACAGTAGTTTTTTAGCTGTAGTAAAAAAATGGTGTCTGGCATCCTTTTTTTTTTTTTTTAGAAGAAAGGCTTTTAGCGCTTCTTGTTGTGGTTTTAAGGTGACAGTGAGTAGTTTCTCTGACCAGAGGGGGCAGTATATATACCTAACTCATTGCAAGCAAGCAGTACTTTTGTGTTCAAGTAAGACCTTACCAACGGATGGCCATTAGGGTCAAAAATCCTTGGGAATGCAACCTCCAGCAAAATAACAAGAACATCAGATTCCCTTTCATCACTGGCAACGAGTGAATAGGTAAATGTGTAAAACAACAATGTCTATTAATGATGAAAGTTTTATAATCATTTGTTACAAATCAGTAAATGTGTTTTGTCCTCACAGGCTTCCATAGAAGGAAACTTGGCATCCAATATGGCGTCGCCCAGAGACTTAGGCCCTGTCCACACGTAGCCGGGGATCTGCCAAAACGTAGATATTTTTCTACGTTTTGGCCTGTCATCCACACAAAAACTGAGTTTTTTCACACGAAAACGGATCTTTTTAAAAACTCCGGCCAAAGTGAAGATCTGCGTTTTCTCCGTTTTGGGTGTCTGCGTGTGGACAGACAAAACCGGAGTTTTAAGGTCTGCAACGTCACTTTCCGCGACAAAAAAATGCTGACATCACGTGTGCGACCTGTGTTTACACTAGCCGACAGCATGGATGCCCTCAGAGCTGCGCTCGCTTTATCAATTGTCCAAGCGCTTTTTGCTTGTTTGTTTTTGCAAGCGGAATTACTGCTCCTGGCGGAAGACCACAGACGAAGGACGAGGTTAAGAACGGGGGAAGTACTGCCACCTACAGGTCTGGCATGTCCTTAACAACGTATTTATCTGGGTACGTGTGGACAGAGTTTTTTTTTAAACGAGGTGGTGTGGATGCAAGTTTTTGGAGGGGCGGATATTCGTTTTTTAAAAAACCCGGCTACGTGTGGACTAGGCCTTAGTCAAGCGACTAAATTAATCAAAACTTATACTTACAGTTAAATTGACACTTTGACCATGGGGAAACTTAAAACACTAGAACACGTAAGTTACTCTTAAACACTTTTTCAGAATGAAATTAGAAAAACCAAGACCTCAGAT